CTTGAGGCCCCGCCCCAGGCCCCCGCTTCTTCCTCTTAGACCTAGCGCGTCAGTTGTCTCCGTCTCCACTTCCATGCCCGAAGCAGCCTGCCCCTTTAAAACCGCTCCTCTCGGAGGGTAAATAAGTAGGACTTCCGTGCATGCGCACACCGTCGTGCAGAGGCACGTCTTCACTTGGACGCCAGGTAGATGGGGGATTGCGCGTTGCTGCCCGCACGGGGTGGGGCTTGCGTTTGGGTCCTCGATAAAGTTCGCATTGGGTACCCAGATCCTTTGCCCACGAGCCCAAGGCGAAGGTTGGGGAGAATGAAGAAGCAACTGAGCTGCTGATAGTGTCTCGGGCACCCCAGGACGAGTGAGACTTAAGCAACGCTGGCTTTAATTCTGTGTCTCTGAGAAGGAGTTGGGCAATTTTGAGCAGTTGAGCTCTTATTTTGAACTAGTTGCCCCATACATTCATTCAACAAACATTGATGTGTGCAGCGTAGGTGCTTAACGCTATTTAAATGTGAAGCAAACCATGGGGAATAGTGCGGGAACGGTGCCTGCTTTCTTGGAACCGCCAGTTTGTTGAAAGGGATAGTAAATAACAAAGAAAAAATTAAATAGGAAAGCTATAAAGATAATCCCCATAAAAAAAGACTTTTTGAAGAGAGTGACTTAGTGGATTCGTTGCATTGTTGTTCAGGGAAGAGCTTTCTGAGGATATGATTGGGAGAAGGTACAGCTGTATGAAATCCAAATTGTAGAATTGGGAAAGGAGCAATGTCAGCAGCAGGCACGGTGTGGATAGCTGGAGTATAGTGGGCCATGGGGCAAGGGGACAAGGTGATTTTGGAGACCTGGTAGGGTCCAGTATCACAGTATGTGGAAGCCAGGGTAAGGAATTTGCAATTCATCGTGTGATTCCAGAAATCCCCAAACCAAACTCATTGCTGTCAATGTGATCCCAACTCATAGTGACCCTATAGAACAGAACTGCCCCTGTGGGGTTTTGAGACTAGTAAATCTTTTGGGGACTAAAAAGCCTGATCTTTCTACTGCAGAGTGGCTACTGCTTTCAAACTGCTGGCTTTGCAGTTAACAGCCCAAGTCAGGTGTCCTCAAACTACGGCCTGCGGGCCATATTCGGTCCGCCGAGGGCATTTGTCTGGCCCGCAGGATGTTTTTGCTCCGTTTGTTTTTTACTTCAAAATAAGATATGTGCAGTGTGCATAGGAATTTGTTCATCTTTTTTTTTTTAAGTATAGCCCCGCCCTCCAATGGGTCTGAGGGAGGGTGAACTGGCCCCCTGTTTAAAAAGTTTGAGGACCCCTGGCCCAAGATGTAATCCACTACACACCACCTACAGCTATATAGACTGTTAAGTTTTCATATGATTTAATTACTTTTCAAGTTATTCTGGCTTCTGTGTAGAAAGTGCACTAGCGAGTCAGTCGTAGAAGCAGTGATTAGAGGCCTTCCAGAAATGCTAAGCAGGGAGGTGATAGAAAGACAGCTGGGGTGATCAGAGAGATGCTTAAAGCCCGGGTTTTGTAAGGTGCAGTTTATGGAGAAAAGGATGGACCATAGGAGCGATGGTTAAGATAAAGCAGACCCGGGAGGCTGAGGAGTCGAGAGCTTGATGTGACATGGACGGTGCCTCTGCCTGATCCCGGAAGTCTTGTTGTAATGAGGACGTAACATCGTTTGTAAATGGAGAGGGTTTCTC